TTCCCTAAATAGCAAGAAAATATGGTGATTTGAGGTATTCAAGACAAGCAACTGGATCACATGATTTCCTGGGATCTTGTTTATTCACTTTTTTATTGAGGTATAATTGACATATAGTGTTATATTAGTTTTGAGTGTACAGTGTAATGATTTGATATTTGTATATATTGCAAAATGATCGCCAAAGTAAGTCCAGTTAAAACTTCTGTCACCATACAGTTAAAAAATCTTTTTTTTATTATGATGAGAACTTCTTAAGATTTACTCTCTCACCACCTTTCAAATATGCAATACAGTATTATTAACTATATTCACCATGCTGTTCATTATATTCCAGGTATTTTATAACTGGAAGTTTGCATCTTTTGACTCCCTTTACCCATTTCACCCACTTCCTATCCTCTTTGCCTCTGGCAACTACTAATCTGTTATCTGTATCTATACAGAAATAAGGTACAGTAAAATTATGGAAAAATAGTTTTTTATTATTTTCAACCTATTTGTGGCTTTTGAATCTAAAGGATGTCTTTTGTGGAGAGCATGTAGTCAGATATTATTAGTTTTTAAAATCCAGTTTGACGATCTTTGCCTTTTGATTGGAGCATTTAATCTTTTCTCATTTGATGTTTTTGTTCATATGGTTAGATTTCTGCCTACCATTTTGCTATTTTCTGTGTGTCTCATGTCTTTTTTTTTTCATAATCCTTTGCTGCCTTTTTTTATATTAAATATTTTTAATGTTTCATTTTAATTCCTTTAATTTTTAAATTATTTTTGAGTTGTTTTCTTAGTGACTGCTTAGAGGATTATAATATGCATCTAATTTATCAGTCTATTTGAGATTAATACTAACTTTATTCCATTTAAATATGGAAACTCTTCACCATAGCTCCATTTCTTCTGCCTCTTTTGTGTTACTGTCAGGTATATTGCATTTCTCTGTTACAAATCCAATATTACAATTGTATAATTGTTTTATGTAATTGCCTTTTGAATCAGAAAATGGAAGAAAAAGACATTTATACTGTCCTTTAATTATTATATACATAAATACTTTTAATAATGCTCTTTATGTGGTTTTGCATTACAACCTGGTATTACTTCCTTTCAGTCTGAAGAACTTCTGTTAGCAATGAATTATCTGAGACTTAGTTTATTTGGGTATGCCTTTATCTTGCCTTCTTTTTTGAAGAATACTGTTGCTGGATATAGAATTTTTGGTTGATAATTATTTTCTTTTGTTATTTAAACACGTCATCTCACTGCCTTTTTGCCTTATTGTTTGTAATGAGAAGTTAGCTTTTAATCTGCTAAGTTTCCTTGTGTGTGACAAGTTGATTTTCTGTTTCTGCTTTCAAGATTTTCTTTTTGTCTCTGGCTTTCAAAATTTTTGCTCTGTTGTGTCTGGATGTAGGTTTGCTGATTTTTTCTTCTGCCAGCTCAGAT